CAGGGAAGAATTCCTTCTCAATATCCCACCTAACCCTGCTCTCTGGCAGTGGGAAGCCATTCCCCCTTGTCCTGTCAGTCCAGACCCTTGTCCAAAGTCCATCTCCAGCTCTCCTGGAGCCCCTTTAGGCATAGGAAGGGGCTCTAAGTTCTCCCTGGAGCCTTCTTCAGGCTTTAAAATCCGAATTCTCTCAGCTTTTCCTCATAGCAGAGGTGCTCTATGCCAATAATCATCTTTGTGGCCTCCTCTGGACTTGCTCTAACAGACCCACATCTTTCCTGTGCTGTGGACCCCACAGCTGGGCACAGTACTCCAGGTGGGATCTCACCAAAGCCGAGCAAGGGGTGGCCCAGCCAGCAGTACATGGACAACAGCACCAACATTCTTCACTCCCATCAAACCAGTGACTCTTTTTCCTCACTCTGACCATCCCTACAACAAGAGCTTGGAGTCACTCACCACACTGTCTTCAGGGTGCTGCGTCATCTTCCATCACCCCCTGAAGCACCCACAACCCCCCAGGGTCAAGATCACACCCAACCCTTTCCCAACAAGACTGAGACTGATCTCCAACTTCTTCCTCCTTCCCTCCCTGCACCATGCTGCCTCTCATCCCAAAGCAAAGCTCAGCTTCTTCACTTATTATAGTTATATTTTTTTTCCCTGGGAAGTTGGGGAAAAAATAGAAAAGGAACTTCAACATCATGATGTTCCAAAAATGTAACAGTTTGACTCATAAGATCTCCAAAGCAGCTCATCTCCATAGTGTTTCATTGGCCTCCTGGCAGAGGAGCACCATCTCAGCGTCTGGGTGCTGGAGGTGGAGGTGGATCAGTGCAGCAGCTTGCTGGAGGCAGGACTGAAAACAGCCCCCAGCATCCTGCAAGAAGAATTCCGTCTACACTTGGATTTACAATCACGCTCCTCGATGTCTCTTAATTAACCGGTGTTGAAATGCAATTATTCACGTCAGGAAAGTTGGGCTTTGAGGAAAAAAACCTGTTGGTTGAATGGGAGAGAGGAGGGGAAGGACTGATGCGTTGTGGAAATGCTTTCCAAGTCAAAGGCTGTTTGCTTTTCCTCTTGGCTCAACCTGTTGGGGTTTCCAGGTGTCTCTGACCATCAGACGAGGAAAATCCATGAGAAACAGAGATCCCACCAAGCCCGGTGTCCCTGCTGTGGTCTGCATGGCTGGCACAGGGGTGTGCTTCCAGGGATGGGGCCGTGTCCGGGATCCTGCCGCAGTGCCGGCCCCGCACAGCACACCCCGCTGTGCCAGGGCTAACGGGAACACGGAGCCATCAGCGATCCCGGGAGAGACCCAGCAGCAGCGGTGACCAAAATACCAGTGTGCCGAGACCGAGGGAAGCGTAAACACAGAAGTTTTCATTAAAAATTGAAATGCTTTTGAAAACATGTTGGGTTTGATGTGAGCAGCGAAGCGGGGCAGCAGCGGGTGGGAGCCAGGGCTCATTTCCAGCTCTGCACGCTCACAGGGACAGCTGGGATGGGGGAACAGCAGGACACGGGGAGATGATGGTGCCGATGCGGCAAGAGATCCCGCCAGCCTGGCACAGCTGGGGCTGAGGCCTTGTATCCTTGGCTGCCCTCTGCGCCCAGGCCAGGCCCACCAACGTGCCAGATCGGGACACCAAAGCCGAAATGGGGCCTTTTCTCAGCGCACCAGCTCCCATCCTGCCCCTAAACACTGGAAGATCACCATGCCCAAAGGAAGCCAAACCCGCCTTCTCCCAGCTTAGTTGTTTCGGGTGTTCCTGAAGGAGCTTTCCCAAGAAGGGAGTAAGGATGCACATCCCAGCTGAGCCCTGGCAAAGGCCCCCACCACTCTGGATCCTGGGAATGGCAAAGGGGCAGCAAAGCTGCTGCCACGTGGCACCGGGACCTGCCGCTCACCACAGGCAGTTCCTGCCGTCATCTCCGCATCCTGAACCGTTTCTCCTACTATTCAGACTAAAATTGTTCTGTGTTTAAGCTTCAGAACCATTTATCTCATTGAGTGAGGAGGATAATCCACCCACTTCTTCCTTGCTCCCTGGCAGGTATTTATAGGCAGCCACTCGTCTCCGTCGGCAGCTGCTGCTCCTCTTCCCAAACCTCCCATCACCAACATCACAGAGCAAATCCCGGGAAGACATAATCCCATATCCAGAGCCCAGCATCCTGCCAGCTACTGAGGCCAGCACTAACAAACCATTGCCACTCTGATCCTTAGAAGGAGATGCTTTGCCCTGCTCTGCATCCTGCTCCACATCCCACACCACTGCACACCCAGCCCTGGGCACATCGGCTCTGCCGATAACTAATTGCAAACTCATTAAGAGCTCATTGAGAGGAGCAGAGGACGCCCGGGAGAGCTGCCCCAGGCTCCCCTAGAGGAGGCTGCTGGAGCAGCAGCTGCTTGGAAATTAAGAGGGAAAGGGGGAAAAACTCCCTCTGGTCGCATCAGAGACTGACAGAAAAACAACCCATTTATTGAGGGAGGTTAGAGGAAAAGGGTTTGGGCTGACCCCAGTGCAGGGCTGGGAGCCTGGCCAGGGGATGGGACTTGCACCATGGGCTACTCTGGGGAAAGGAATTGGAAAAACAAAGGGAAAACCTATGCAGGGCAGGGGCAGGACCTTGGCAAGACCCCAATTTCTCTTTAAAGAGGGGAGAAATGAGAAACATGCAGCAGTGGGATGGACACAGGCCCACACTGCTCTGTCCCTGCACTTGGTAGGTATTGGGCAGAGCTTTGATTTCTCCCTTTGCCATCCCCAAATCCTTAGTTATTAGCAGGTAACACTGATTCCCCTCCAAGCCCAGCAGGCTGGAGGCCAAGGCACCCATCAGGAGGAAGCTGCCTCCCTTCACACCCTAACCAGCTCCCAAACCTCCCCTATTTTCCCCAAACTACCCCCTGAGCCAGCACAGTCATGTCCAAGGGGGGTTGGCCCTTTGCTGCTCCCGGTCCCCCTCCTCCCACCCCACCCTGGTGCTGGGGTGTCCCCGGGGCAAGGGGCCAGTGGTGCTTTGGCCGTGCCCCGAGCGGAGCCGCTGCCTCCCAGTGCCCCGCTCCATTTCCAGACCCCACTGCCTCTGTTCCTGCCTGACCCCGTTCCAGGGACATCCTCTCCTCTCCTCCGCACCGCTGGGACCCGCACAACAGATAACAGATATGAGCTGTGCTTCCTGGGGGCCATGGCACGGTGGAGCCCAGGGAGGGCTTGCAAAGGCACCTTCGCCTAACGAGGCCGTCTCTGCAGGCACGGGGGGAGGACAAGCATCTCACCGGGGCTCGGAGCCACTGGTACCTGCCACGGCTGGGCAGCCTCCACCCCGGCCAGCCATTGCCCCCCACCTCGCCAAAAGCAGCAAAACGTGTAGGGAAAGAGTTCCTTCACCCCTGTGCCATCCCAGGACCATCCGAAACCGCTCGGGATAAGCTGAGTATGTCCAGGAAGTGGTCGGTCACACGTGGCTCAGGGACATCAGCCTGTGGCAGCAGTTTGGGAACAGCCCCTCTGCCAGCATCCCGCAGCCTGGGAGGAGCAGCCACCCCCAAAGAGGCCACGGATGGGGCACATCTACACGCTCTCCGGCTGGCTCTGCAGGGAAGTGCTGGAGCACCACTGACACCACTGAACTAGCACCAAACCTCCACCAAAGCACCTGCAGCAATTGGGACTTCCCAGTGACCCCAATCTGGGACTGAATTGGCACTGAATTCCAAGGTATCCAACAATTCTCATACCAGCTCCTTGCCTAGACTAGAGCAGCCTTCTCAGCACCAGGATTGTCTTCAGCAAAGCCAATGAGTGCCCAGCCACGTGCAGGATCCCAGTTGGCAGGAGCTGCTCTCCTGGTGGGGATGTCCCAGCTGTGGGGCAGGGTCAGGCCCCCTCACACCCATCCGTAGTGTCTCCCGCTGTGGGATCCATCTCCCATCCTGACTATCAGCCTGTGACAAGATTCCTCAGCCTCTGGTCCCGGGATTCAGGTTTCGCAGGCAAATTTGTGAAGAGCAAACAAAGCAGCACCAGAGCTCTCTCCTCCAACAGCTCCTGGGGAGCCACCACTCTTCCTTCCTGCTGCTGTCCTCCGT